TGTTTAAAGATGTTCTAACAAACTTTTTAACGTAAAGCGTAGTATTTTAATGGATATTAAAGAATGACCCTAATAACTTGTACAACGGGTCTCTTCGAACCTTCGAATTTAGCTTTAACCTCATTTCATTGGAAATAATGAACAAGAGAAGTAAGTAAAGTCACATTGGTTTTTTTTTTTTATTCATTCATTCATTCATTGGCTGAATCAATGGCCTAGCATTACAAATTAACCTTGTGCAAGAGCACAAAAATATATATAAAAATCATAAAAAATTGAAATCAATATTCATCGGGTAACACTTCAAAGTAATCAAACGTAGGCCGAAGACTTACTTAAATGTACATTTTTCTTCTTTATCAATATTCACTGTTCATTTTATGGCACGCAATTGGTTTACGTTATTTAGAATTTGGCAATAAACCTTTTAATAAATTAAAATGCAAAAAACTACAAAAAAAAATTAAATAAATGAGAATAAGAAAAGTTATGTTTAAAAAAAAAAAAAGGAAAAAAATTCTTCGATTTTTAGAATAAGAAATAATGACGCCATCACTGATCGTCTGAAGGAGTGGTAGCCGCTATACTGTCATAATGCGAAAGAGGATTCTTTTTTAAAGAGTAGAGAGAGAGAGAGAGAGAGAGAGAGAGAAAAAGCTAACGAAATTCATTTAGCTTTCTTTTATTATTGTAGTAAGTAAGCCATTGCGATTGACTTGGATCGTTTCTACGTATATAAAATTGATCTTAACATAGGTTAGAAAGCAGATGAATGGCATACGTAGTTTATAGTTGCGGCTTTACCGAGAGTTCAATAGATTTGTCTAGGATACTATTCAGCCTTCTTATCGTACGATATTTTTGAATATTTTCAATGTTATAGCGCGCCCTCGATGTTTAATTGTTTATTAGCCTCTCGATGGATTCCTTATAACATCGTGTGAATCGGAAAGGCAAACTGTCGTATTTAATCGCCATATATCAAAGGGGAAACTACAAACGTACTAAATAGTACGCATTTTATGAACACGTAATAAGAAGAGTAATACATTAAATGAAACATCAAAATGATGATTTAACTGCGGACAAGTTAAGTATGACAATACAATTAATTTGTAAAATGAAAAATGCAATTTAAAAAGGAAAAGCAAATGTAAAAAGTGACCCTTTCAAAGTAAACCAAACGAAAATATTATAATCGAGCAAGACTGACTTTTAAATAGACACACTACACCAACCCGTTGAATGCTGGTTTCCATTAATTAAATTGTAGCTTGTAAAGGTAGCTTTTATAACGGCGATGGTCCAAATGTGGACCGACTTGTTCTTAATTGTTAAAGACTTTGTTATAAATTACCCATTATCGCTACATAAGGCTTAACATTTCATTAGCATCTTTATCGAAGGGGGTGGATCGACTCAAATAGTAATGTGACCTAAAGTTTCTACAGATAGTTTCTATCGCACATATTAGAGATTAGACATTTTAGCCAGATGATTGCTTATTCTGAAGAGAGAAGTCCAAAAAGTCCATCCATCTGATCCAGGTTTGGTAAAAGTAAATGGTAATCCTATTGATTAATTTTCATCATAAAATGTAGAATTTTGCGCGACATAAACACCTAGTTCTCATAGTCAGCAGAAGAGTTATATGTCAGGACGCGTACACAATTCGATACAAATCTTTTACTAAGCGATTTTCATCGAGAAAGTTTGAAAATTGCAAAAATTTCTTTCCAATTCATTTTGTATGAGATCCATCCTTGCTGGTCTAAAGTATGTCAATAGACAAAATACCGTCAACCTTTAAGTCGAATAAATGAACACATATACACACATATCCGACAACAGATGGACAGACCGATGAGCTTAAATTTAGATTTTAAAAATAATTCTGAATTGAAATATTATAAGAACCCAATACACACACGCACACGCACATGTTTGCAAATAGTGTAGGGTATAGAAATTAGCAGAAAAAGAAGTATTTATATGCTTGTATTTTTTTTTTTTTTTTGAACAACATAGTACTTATCGTACTTATCATAAGTGCCATGAATA